AGATATGGACTCCATGCTGGGGCTGCATACTCCAGGATTGGCCTGACATATGTGGTATACAAAGTTCTGAATGATTCTTTACACAAGTTTCTGAATGCCGTTCGTATGTTGGCCAGCCTGGCATATGCCGCTGATGTTATCCGCTTGATATGTGCTGCAGGAGACAGGTCTGGCGTGATATCAACCCCCAAGTCTTTTTCCTTCTCTGACTCCTGAAGAATTTCCTCTCCCAGATGATACCTTGTATCTGGCCTCCTGCTCCCTACACCTATCTTCATTACATTACATTTGGTTGGGTTAAACTCTAACAACCATTTGTTCGACCATTCCTTCAGCTTGTCTAGGTCTTCTAGAAGCCTCAAACAGTCCTCTTCTGTTTTAATCCTTCTCATAATTTTAGCATCGTCCGCAAACATTGAGAGAAATGAATCGATACCCTCCGGAGATCATTTACATATATCAGAAACAAGATAGGACCGAGTACAGAGCCCTGTGGGACTCCACTGGTGACTTCACGCCAATCGGAGGTCTCACCCCTCACCGTAACTCTCTGCTTCCTATTGCTTAGATACTCCCTTATCCACTGGAGCACCTTACCAGCTACACCTGCCTGTCTCTCCAGCTTATGTACCAGCCTCTTATGCGGTACTGTGTCAAAGGCTTTCCGACAATCCAAGAAAATGCAGTCCGCCCAGCCCTCTCTTTCTTGCTTAATCTGTGTCACCTGATCGTAGAATTCTATCAAGCCTGTAAGGCAAGATTTACCCTCCCTGAATCCATGTTGGCGATTTGTCACGAAGTCCCTTCTCTCCAGATGTGTTACCAGGTTTTTTTCTCACGATCTTCTCCATCACCTTGCATGGTATACAAGTCAAGGACACTGGCCTGTAGTTCAGTGCCTCTTGTCTGTCGCCCTTTTTGTATATTGGGACCACATTCGCCGTCTTCCATATTTCTGGTAGGTCTCCCGTCTCTAGTGACTTACTATACACTATGGAGAGTGGCAGGCAAAGTGCCTCTGCACACTCTTTCAGTACCCATGGTGAGATCCCATCTGGACCAACAGCCTTTCTAACATCCAGATCCAGCAGGTGTCTCTTGACCTCCTCTCTCGTAATTTCGAACTCCTCCAAGGCCGCCTGGTTTACCTCCCTTTCTCCTAACACAGTGACCTCACCCTGTTCTATTGTGAAGACCTCCTGGAACCTCTTGTTGAGTTCCTCACACACCTCTCTGTCATTCTCTGTATACCTGTCCTCGCCTGTTCTAAGTTTCAATACCTGTTCTTTCACTGTTGTTTTCCTTCTGATGTGACTGTGGAGTAGCTTTGGTTCGGTCTTGGCTTTGTTTGCTATATCATTTTCAAAATTTTTCTCTGCTTCTCTTCTCACCCTGACGTACTCATTCCTGGTTCTCTGGTATCTCTCTTTGCTTTCTGGTGTTCTGTTATTCCGGAAGTTCCTCCACGCCTTTTTGTTCAGTTTCTTCGCTTCCATACATGCCCTATTATACCATGGATTCTTCTGTTGCTTCTCGGATTTTTCCCTTTGGGCCGGGATGAACCTGTTTACTGTGTGTGTGTGTGTGTGTGTGTGTGTGTGTGTGTGTGTGTGTGTGTGTGGTGTGTGTGTGTGGTGTGTGAGGTGTGTGGGTGTGTGTGTGTGTGTGGTGTGTGTGTGGTGTGTGTGTGTGTGTGTGTGTGTGTGTGTGTGTGTGTGTGTGTGGTGTGTGTGTGTGTGTGTGTGTGAGGTGTGTGTGTGTGTGGTGTGTGTGTGTGTGTGTGTGTGGTGTGTGTGTGGTGTGTGTGTGTGTGGTGTGTGTGTGTGTGTGTGTGTGTGTGTGTGTGTGTGTGTGTGTGTGTGTGTGTGTGTGTGTGTGTGTGTGTGTGTGTGTGTGTGTGTGTGTGTGTGTGTGTGTGTGTGTGTGGTGTGTGTGTGTGTGTGTGTGTGACTGTGTGTGTGTGTGTGTGTGTGTGTGTGTGTGTGTGTGTGTGGTGTGTGTGTGTGTGTGTGTGTGTGTGTGTGTGTGTGTGTGGTGTGTGTGTGTGTGTGTGTGTGTGTGTGGTGTGTGTGTGTGTGTGGTGTGGTGTGTACTCACTTAGTTGTATTCACCTAGTTGTGCTTGCGGGGGTTGAGCTCTGGCTCTTTGGTCCCGCCTCTCAACCGTCAATCAACAGGTGTACAGGTTCCTGAGCCTATTGGGATCTATCATATCTACACTTGAAACTGTGTATGGAGTCAGCCTCCACCACATTACTTCCTAATGCATTCCATTTGTCAACCACGCTGACACAAAAAAAGTTCTTTCTAATATCTGTGTGTGTGTACTCACCTAGTTGCACTCACCTAGTTGTGTTTGCGGGGGTTGAGCTCTGGCTCTTTGGTCCCGCCTCTCAACCGTCAATCAACAGGTGTACAGATTCATGAGCCTATCGGGCTCTGTCATATCTACACTTGAAACTGTGTATGGAGTCAGCCTCCACCACATCACCTCCTAGTGCATTCCATTTGTCAACCACTCTGACACTAAAAAAGTTCTTTCTAATATCTCTGTGCCTCATTTGGGCACTCAGTTTCCACCTGTGTCCCCTTGTGCGTGTTCCCCTTGTGTTAAATAGACTGTCTTTATCTACCCTATCAATCCCCTTCAGAATCTTGAATGTGGTGATCATGTCCCCCCTAACTCTTCTGTCTTCCAGCGAAGTGAGGTTTAATTCCCGTAGTCTCTCCTCGTAGCTCATACCTCTCAGCTCGGGTACTAGTCTGGTGGCAAACCTTTGAACCTTTTCCAGTTTAGTCTTATCCTTGACTAGATATGGACTCCATGCTGGGGCTGCATACTCCAGGATTGGCCTGACATATGTGGTATACAAAGTTCTGAATGATTCTTTACACAAGTTTCTGAATGCCGTTCGTATGTTGGCCAGCCTGGCATATGCCGCTGATGTTATCCGCTTGATATGTGCTGCAGGAGACAGGTCTGGCGTGATATCAACCCCCAAGTCTTTTTCCTTCTCTGACTCCTGAAGAATTTCCTCTCCCAGATGATACCTTGTATCTGGCCTCCTGCTCCCTACACCTATCTTCATTACATTACATTTGGTTGGGTTAAACTCTAACAACCATTTGTTCGACCATTCCTTCAGCTTGTCTAGGTCTTCTTGAAGCCTCAAACAGTCCTCTTCTGTTTTAATCCTTCTCATAATTTTAGCATCGTCCGCAAACATTGAGAGAATGTGTGTGTGTGTGTGTGTGTGTGTGTGTGTGTGTATTGTATTCACCTAGCTGTGCTTGAGGGGGTTGAGCTCTGCTCTTTCGGCCGCCTCTCAACTGTCAATCAATCAACTGTTACCAACTATTAATTTCCCCCCCCCCCCCCACACACACACACCCAGGAAGCAGCTCGTAGCACCTGTCTAACTCCCAAGTACCTATTTACTGCTAGATAACAGGCGCATCAGGGTGAAGGAAACTCGGCCCATCTGTTTCCGCCGGCTGCGGGGAACGAACCCCGGTCCCTAGATCCACGAGAGTAGAGCGCTCTCCACTCAGCTACCAGCCCCACAGGGCTCTGTGTGTGTGTGTAATGGGGAACAAATGGAAACACCCTCCCCCCCCCCCCTGAATATTGAGAGAGGGCAAAAGACTTATTAATAATAATTCAGAAGGCTAAATTCACATAAGACGAGCTCCTCGTGCCAAAGGCTGAAGTCAGCCCCAAGGAGTAAGTGGCTAGTCTCTTAGTGAATACTGCTTTTCTCCTTCAAAAAAAAAAAAAAAGGAAAATCTCCTGAAAAGGAAAACATGACAAGCTTCAATATTAATATATATATATATATATATATATATATATATATATATATATATATATATATATATATATAATATATATATATATATATATATATATATAAATATATATATATATATATATATATATATATATATATATATATATATATATATATAAATATATATATATATATATATATATATATATATATATATATATATAAATCTTTATTTATTTTTATATTACTTAAATATTTATATTTATTTATTTATTTCTTCTGTCGCTTTTATAATTTATTTCTGTATGCAATTTACATAAAACAGAACATGATCTTGACGAGAGAACTTAAAAGTATTCGCAGATTCAATTTTTTTTTAAATTTTTGCATTCTGGATTCGTGTTATTTAAATAATTTTAAGATATATTAAATGATGCGTCCGTGTTTTATGCAACAAAAGCACTCGCAGTGACTCTCAGGGCTAGAGTGAGAGGCACAGCCAGTGCTATACTCATGCTGATTATAGTGATTCATCTCACATATTATTTGTGTGTGTGTGTGTGTGTCTGTGTGTGTACTCACCTAGTTGTATTGACTTAGTTGTGCTTGCGAGGATTGAGTTCTGGCTCTTTGGTCCCGCCTCTCTACCGTCAATCAACTGGTGTTCAGATTCCAGAACCTACTGTGCTCTATCATATCTACATTTGTGTATGGAGTCAGCCTCTACCACATCACTGCCTAGTGCATTCTATCTGTTAACTTCTCTGACACAGAACAATTTATTTCTAACGTCCCTGTGGCTCATTTGGGTACTCAGTTTCCATCTATGTCCCCCTTGTTCGCGTACCACCCGTGTTAAGTAGTTTATCTTTATCTACCCTGGAAATTCCTCTGAAAATTTTGCAGGTAGTGATCATGTCTCCCCCTAACTCTTCTCTCTTCCAGTGTCGTGAGGTTCAGTTCCAGTAATTTTTCCCCATAGCTCATTCCTCTCAGCTCGGGGGATAGTTTGGTAGCATACCTCTGAACCTTTTCTAACTTCGTTTTAACGCCTTGGTTTAAAATTCTTTTAAATAATGGCGTCGTAATCAACGGTTACTTTCACAGTGAAACATGACACTTATTTATTTACATTGTTAAATTGACAGTGTTTATTTTAATATAAAATCCCGAGAAGGTAAATTTCCTGCACATGAACCGGTGAAGACAGGTAGGAGCAACAGTTGCATCAGTCGCAGCAACATCAGCAGCTGTAGAAGCATCAGTAGCAGCAGCATCAGCAACAGAAGTAGTAAAACCAGAAACATCAACGGATTCAGCAATAACAACAGTAGTTGACGTAGCTGTTGTTGAAGCTGCATTACGAGTAGAATCATCGTCAAATAGCAGCAGCAGCAGCAGCAAGAGCAGCAGTAAACGAAACCGCAGAAGCAGTAGACGCGGCAGCAGTGCGAGCAGCAGCAGCAGCAGTACCAGTACCAGTAGAAACAGCAGCGGCAGAACCAGCTTCTCAAACAATTCTCAAACTTCGTACTATTTCTCGAATCAGCTGGCCAAACACGACGAACAAATAGCTATATTTAAACAGCCCAGAGACAGGACTAATGATGCAAACATGTAAATTGACCCATATGTATTCTGCGAGAAGGGGGATAAGGGTGGGGGGGGGGGGTTAGTTAATCTTCAGGTATCCACTATGAAATTGCCTAAGAGCTATTGTGTATCTTTATGGGATCTACCCCATATGTACCTTTGCTAAAGGGTATTGTGTAAAAAGGTCATTGACTCATATTAGCTTGTTAAGAGGTATAGTGCAGTCTTTGGTCTTTCGCTCATATGTAGCATTTAGGATGTATAATACAGTATCATGTATTTGATCCATATGTGTCTGCCTTAGGTGTATCATTTAGATTTACGTCTGTGATTTACGCCTATGTATCTTGATAGAGGTTATTGAATACTATTATGCATTGGTTCCGTGTTTTGCTAGGATCGTTGACATTTATTGTTTTGATTCTCATATATTGATGGAGTGAATCGTGTAAAATTATGTATCGATAAATGTATATGTTTGTACGTTTGTAAGTGTTGGCAATAATTATAAAAGTAATATCGTGACAAACCAAGAAAACAAGTATGTATGAAACAGTATTTTATTCCAGACATTGCATAACTGGTTCTTAGTCGTCTCTACGTCACCAGTAATTACAGGGTTATCAGGTATACTGTACCAGTAGTATGTTACTAGTTGTGTAACACCATCATATGTAATAAGTTGTGAGTAATCCAGCCCTCTTCTGACTACTTACTAATCGTCTCATTCTTATTTTCATTTAGTCATTACATTTTTCTCCCCCAAAATTAGACTAAAACCTGCACTTAAGCTAACTGTTACCACAATACTAATATTTTTCTGCTTATACTTTGAAACTTTTAGTGCTACTTTGATTCTGGTTCCACTGATGTCGTAACTACAACTACAACCTCTACCACTACCATCATCCCTACACCAAAAAAGCCACTTGAATACATATGGGACATTTACACATGATGTCAGACAAAAATAGAACCTTTACCACCACTATCACTAAAACAACACAAGCTCTAGCTGACGCAAACTTGCGTCACGTCTCCCTCGGAGCCAAGCTGATCACAATGCAGAGTTATGCCGGGTGCAAGTCGTTCTGAATTAAGATTGACTTTATGAAATCAATTAAGTCTCGCAGCAAGCTACAGGTTAGAAATGCTCCTAGTAAATGTGTAGCGTTGGAGAAGTTTGTTTCTCCAAGAGAGAGAGATTCACTAATGACATTGGGAATGACAGAAAAAGAATCTTATTTATTGATTTTATTTATTTACATATATACAAGAAGGCACACTGGGCTTATAGGAGTACATAGCATTAATGTGTTTACATTCTTGCAAAGCCACTAACACGCATTGCGTTTCGGGCAGGTCCTTAATCTAGCAGATAATTTTAAGATGGTAATTTCTAGCAAAATTGAAAAAATGGTACATTGTAAAAACAGGTACATTGTAAGAAAATTTTACATAGATTAGTAGGTACATTAAAGTAAAATTAGAGGGTTATCATCAGATAAATTGTAGCATAATTTGATGATTATTTCAAGGTATAATACAGTAAAATATGCGTTCAATATAACAACCATGATATATGATGATAGCAATGATTACAATGGTAAAGTTGAATGGCTTAAATACATATATTGGGGGATTGGGTAGCACTAGACAGAGTGTGAGTTTAAAGCACCAGGTAGGAAACTATGAAAAATGAATTAGATACTTTTTATTTCTATTTTTTAATAAGGCAAGCGTTGGACAGCTGTTCAATTCGTTAGGGAGTGAGTTCCATAAACTAAGTTCATTTATTTGCATAGAGTTTACATAGATTAAGTTTGACTCTGGGGATATCAAAGATATATTTATTTCTAGTGTGGTGAGTATGGGTTCTTTTACATCTGTCCAGGAAAAGTTTCAGAACAGATTTTGCATTTAAAAACAGGGTTTCGTAAATGTAAATGACGCAAGAGAATGTGTGGAGTGAATTTATGTTTAGCATGTTTAGGGATTTAAACAGGAGGGCTGAGTATTGTCTGAAAGCAGAGTTTGTTATTGTTCTGATAGCAGATTTTTGCTGGGCGATGATGGGCTTGAGATAGTTTGTAGTGGTTGAACCCCATGCACAGATACGATATGTAAGATAGTGATAGATTAGCGTGTGGTACAGTGAGAGGAGAGCAGTGTTTGGAACATGATATCTTATTTTTTGAGCATACCAACCGTTTTAGTATACTGAATCTGAAATGCATTAACAAAGATTATAATTATACACTAGGAGGTATCTATATCATCAAGGAGAAACAAATGGGCGGAGTTTTTATCACCTGATGCCTTTGTTCACCTAGGAGTAAATAGGTACCTGGGAGACAGAAAGCTGCTACACGCTGCATTCCTAGGGGGATGTGTTTGTGTGTGTGCGTGTGTGTCCGAATGTGTGTGTGTGTGTGTGTGTTTACTAGTTGTGTTTACTAGTTGTGTTTTTGCGGGGGTTGAGCTTTGCTCCCTCGGCCCGCCTCTCAACTGTCAATCAACTGTTTACTAACTACTTTTTTTTTGTTTTTTTTTTCACACCACACACACACACCCCAGGAAGCAGCCCGTGACAGCTGACTAACTCCCAGGTACCTATTTACTGCTAGGTAACAGGGGCACTTAGGGTGAAAGAAACTTTCACCATTTGTTTCTGCCTCGTGCGGGAATCGAACCCGCGCCACAGAATTACGAGTCCTGCGCGCTATCCAACAGGCTACGAGGCCCCTCGTAGCCCCTCGAGGCTCCTCGAGGCCCCTCGGCCCCTCGAGGCCCCTCGATGTGTGTGTGTGTGTGGGTGTGTGTGTGCGTGTGTGTGTGTGTGTGTGTGTGTCCGAATGTGTGTGTGTGTGTGTGTGTGTGTGTCCGAATGTGTGTGTGTGTGACGAAGGGAGGGGAATGATGAGGTGCGTAAGAGAATGAAATATGAATGTCAGGTATTAGAAAATTAGATAGCGGGATCCAAAAGCTAACAGCTCGATCCAGCAGCTACAAAGGGTAAACACACAGAGAGGTGTACCCCACTTGTAGCAGTAAATAAACCGAAAGTTTACTTTAATGGTAGACAGAAAACTACTGTGGTGCCTTAAAAATCCTCTAGAGGTTGATAGACATTAAGCCCAACAGCACACCAAATATTAGATACATTTTTAATTACATTATTACAATTAACAATACTAATAATAATGCACAATGAAATTACATTAACATGCTTTATCCAAAAAAATCAGTGGGAGTTGTTATAAGAATTCGAACCTGTTCACTTGGTACTTCCAAGCTAGCTTGGGGGGTACCAAGTGAGTGGGTTCGAATCTTCATTTCGTGAGTATAGTTTATTTTGTATTTTTTCATATTTTCATTTCATTTATTAACTGCTTTTCTTATATTTCAGTAATGGAACATCAGATCACTTGATGTTCCCAATTTTCTGATGGGAACATCACACCATTTGGGAAGGCATCGGACGAGTGAGTGGGGAATGGTGGGAAGGACGAGGGGGGACGGAAGTGAGAGATGGTGGGGAGGACGAGGGGACAAGGGGACAAGGGAGGGGATAATGGTGGGGAAGGAAGAGGGGACGGGGGAGTTCGGGATGGTGGGACGAGGGGATGGAGGAGTGGGGGATTGTTGGGAGACCGGGAGGCGGGTGAGGGGGATATATATATATATATATATATATATATATATATATATATATATATATATATATATATATATATATATATATATATATATATATATATATATATCCAATTAGTCAGTGTCTAATTGCCATTCACAACTGAATATCATTACGACCCTTGACCCTTAGGATTTATCTCACACGCTTATTAAGAATATTCCTGGGCGCCAGAAGACTTGCCCGCCCAATCACTGCTGGTGTCTTCGGTTAATATGCAGCAAATTCGATGTAATTATTTCTCATTATAATATTTTATGCACCGTTGCCATGGTGTAATTACTTGTCTACTCTTTTTGAAGCTAAAAAGATGGGGGAATTTTAACTTCAATAATCTTAATTATTTTTAACAAAATGTTGGAAATTGTTATATAAATATATATGTACATATAAATATGACAATGTCAAACCAGTAATATTACATCTTCAGATCCTTCTGAAGATGTTTTATTAAATGTGAAAGTACTTAAGGAGATTTCCTGTCTTAATCCTTCCTTCGTGGTCTGACATTGTCACATTATTCATCACGTGTTAATGTCTTCGCTCATTCATGTCACTCTGACGCAGGTGTGAGTCATGTCACTCTGACGCAGGTGTGAGTCATGTCACTCTGACGCAGGTGTGAGTCTTGTTCCTCTGACGCGGGTGTGAGTCATGTCACTCTGACGTGGGTGTTAGTCATGTCACTCTGACGCCGGTGTGAGTCTTGTCCCTCTGACGCCGGTGTGAGTCATGTCCCTCTGACGCGGGTGTGAGTCATGTCACTCTGACGCTGCCGTTAGTCATGTCTCTTTCACACATCCGTTAGTTTCGTACCATATTATCTTATCCCATTCTCTTCATTCTCTCCGCTCTTTGTCAGTCTTCATAATCACAGAAGCAGTCAATCATCCTCCACACTCAACACAATTTCCTCCGCTTTTAGGCAAGAATTGTAAAAAAAAAAGTAATTTTAGGGATTTCATCTCTTTTTTTACACATTGATGACATGGGTAAAATATTTTTTTATCAAATCTATTATTTATAAAATCACCTTTGGTGGACTTTTAAAGGAAATAATATTTTGTGAAGCAAATTACAGCAATATTGGGCACTAAACAGAGGCGATCAGCAACACTGGTGATGGAAACTGGTGATGCTAGATGCTACAATTAGGCCCAATTACTAAAACAATAACAACATAAATGACTGTATCAATAACAGCCTCATAAGCAGACGAGGAGTCACAATAACGTGGCTGAAAGATATTGACCAAACCACACACTAGAAAGTGAAGGGACGACGATGTTTCGGTCCATCCTGAACCATTCTCAAGTCGATTGTCGATAACC